AAGAAGAAATTCATAAAATAATTATTGATATTTATAATTTCATAATGAGTCAAATCATGAACAAAATCAAGAAAGATACGTCCTCCACAAGTTTTAGTTGTTAATATACAGATTAAAAAAGGAGTAATCCCTCAAAGTTTTTCATATTTCATTTTGCTGTCTAAAACAATACAATAAACAAAAAATGTCGATAAGCATTAACCTGATTATAACTTTACGTGCTATTTAATACTTAAAATGTATTATTAATTGAAATCAAATTTGACAATAAATTAATATGTTTGAAAAAGATTTTCAGAAGAAAAGGCTGACTAATTATATTTTACTTAATAAAACTTGATGAAATTTTAATTTGAAATAACTTGTTTTATAAAAATTTTGTTTACATTTATTGTTTTAAACGTATTTTTAAATAGTTCGAAGTTCAAATGTATACAACTTTATTTTAGTGATGAAAAAAGTTGAAAGCAATGTTTAGGTTTTAAAATGAGCTATGTATTTACAGTCTAAATAATAAAAATTAATAAGAAATAAAAGTTTTTGTCCAAGTATTGTGATAAAACAATTTTGGTATAATTAATAAGATAATTTTAAATATGTTTTAAATTGAATAAATATTCATAAATAGAATTTTTTATATTAAACAACAATAATAATTCAAACTAACTCAAATAATTTTATAAACATCTGTCTTGTAAGTATATTCCAGTCACAGGAATAAAATGCTCAATATAAATAATATTCAAATTCAAAATATACAAATATTATAGTTTTTTTTAATTATCAAAGCATATATTTGATGTTTTTTTGCTTTGACTTTATTATAAATAACTCAATTCAATCAAAAATCAAAAGGAACAATTTTTTAAAAATATATATAAATGGGCATATTTTTTTAGATTATTAACTGGTATTATTGAAGTTTGAAGATTTTTAAAAATAAGTAAAATTTATTATAACATATAAATTAAAAAAATATTATTCAAAAATAATTAAATATGTAAGAAAAATAATAAAAATGCAAATATTTAAAATAAATACCTATATATACAATTTATTGTTCTTTTTTTGTACAACAATACAATTTTTTTTTACTTTCAATGTATTGTGATTTTTTTTAGCATCGATTACCCATATTTTTATTATAAAAATGCATAATATAAATAAAATCATATTCTACCTGAAAAATCAAGACAAACAACAAAAGTCAATTCAAAGTATATTCTATTTCACTAGAATGATAAAAATAAAAAAGACAGAACAATATTTAAACACATTTTTTATATGATCAAACAATTACAAAAAGATACACCGTTTGTTCTTTTACAAGCGAAACTCACTTCGGACAGCGTATCATATGATGGTAATCAAATGACTGAAAACTCGTTTCTTAATATATCACAATATACACGAATTGTAATTATATCCGAAATACCAACTCATATTTGGCTAAGCCCAAAGAGATGTTAATACATGTCACACTTGGAGAAAAATGTGAAGACTATGGAAATGGTTGTAAATAACTATGCATCAAAATGATTATAAACTTAGGGTTAAGTTGTTAAATTGCATCATGGCAATTGCTCGAAAATAACAATCATATTATACACATCTTAAAAAACAAAAAAGATCACAGTATATTGTCGACTACTTAACAAAACCAACAATGGTAACAGTCTCAAAAAAGAAAAAACATCTATGTAAATCAATTCAGTCTTTGAACCATCATTTTTTAGGTTTGACATTTGAATGTTAATAATTATAATTATGGCTAAGTTAATAATTATATTCTGTTAAAATTCAAAAAAATAATTACCATTTTAATAATTATATTAATTAATTAATTAATAAATGTTAATACAATTTGTGTTTAACTTTTTGTATTTTTTGATAACAAAAACCTTAATAAAAACAACTTGTTATCAATAAAATGCAAATCAATTCAAAATAATGGATGATCAGAATATACCACAATATTGTTAAAATACCCTCCTATCATTTTTGACATAAAAAACATAATAAAAAAGAAATATTATAATTATTAAAAAATTGTGTCGCACTTTGCATTTAAAAGTATAGCAACTGCTATAACTCATTTTATGTTTAAATAGTAATTTATCATTTATTAAAAATAAATTGTAATTGATGTTTAACACACTTCTAAAGTGTGAACAACGTCTTCTATTTTGGACGACTGTTCATATCTTGTTTCCAACATTCAGAAATGATGTTGAAAATGTTATCACTCATTGATGGATTTTTGTTCACATGTTTTCCAGAAATAACGAATTCTGCCATTTTCCATGGAATTTAAATTCATCTTTTGGGTACGCCTCACACCACCCAACACACTCGTATATTGTTACTCCAAATGAAAAGATGTCAGCACTCATTTTGTACTTTTCTTTTTTCAAAATTTCAGGTTCCATATAAGTTGGTGTTCCAATATTTTTGGTAAATGTCATGTTTGTCATCAACAAGTTGACATTTCTCCTACTTCCAAAATCAGTCAATTTTGAATTAACCTTTTCAATAGTCTCCAGTGAAAAGACTAAAATGTTGTCTGGTTTGATGTCTCTGTAAAGTATCCCATTCTCGTGAAAATACAAAATCCTTTTTGAAGCGTCAAGACACAATTTCAGTCTTAACTTAAAACAACTTCATTCGACGTTTTGTGTTTCATCAAGTCTTGAAGACTTCCATATTGCGCAAATTCGGTGACCATAAACACTTTATTACGCGCAAAAACAGCGCAATAGAAGCGAACGACAAATTCACTTCTGAACTTGTCTAACATCTCAACCTCCTTTTTAAATTATTCCATTGACTCTTCATTGTGTTCGACTTCTTTAATTTTTTTTAATTGCTACTTTGTTTCCAATGTAATTACCAATGTTAACAACACCAAAAAGACCTTAGCATATCTTCTTTTTGCAAATTACTTTATCGGCATCAAGGTTGCTTGACTTCTCACTCTCCAAATTAATGGGAAAGTTGAGGGACATCTGCTCGCACTTCCACATATTAAGAAGGACAATTGCAATAGTTTCACTGATGCTACACGTGCACAGAGGTGTTACAAATATTTCAAATTCAACAACTTTCCCAGATGACAGTGTTGCAAGAGATGGAGTTACCCTGATGGTGTACTTCTCACTTGTCGTTTTGTATGTCAGTTGTATTTTCACGGTGTGTTTCGAGTTGTTTCCAACACAGAGGAGGTCATGACTTGGTTTGTCAATTGGAAGTGAACAAATTGTATCAAAGTCAACAAAGAAGTCGAGTGATGTTTTGTTCAACATGACTCCTGGAAAATATTTAATGTAGTTGATGTTCGACTTTTTCATTGAAAACTCGCATGTGGTCTTTTGTAAACTTGTTTCATAAAAGCGTCATTTTTTCAGTTACGATTTTGTGAAAAATGTGATAATAATTAAAAATATTTTAAAGTAATTTGTCATTAGTCTTGCAATATTTTTGTAATTTTTTCTTGTGCACAATTTCAACCGTTCACCATAACTTTCAACTTACTTGTTAATATTGTTGATGTATTTTTTACAAACAACATGACACACGATAAAAATGTTTTCATTACTTGTATTATTTGTTTATTATTTATATTTCAAATATGACTACAAATGCTCAATTAGATTTAAGTCACAACTCGGAGATGGCCAATTTTTAATGATAAAACCTTTTTATTATTCAAAAACTAAAGTGTACAGTAAAAACTTTAAAGAACGGGCGTGTGTGGTAATTTTGTTTTTTTTTCAAAAGTGGGAATTTTAAGACAATCAAACCTTAATTGCCGCTCTATAAAGAACTTTATTTTTTATTTCATTGAAAAATACCATCTTTTGAGAAAATCCGCTTTTCAAAAGTACCGTTTTTGAAAAGTTTTACTGTATTTTGATTTGTGCACATTGGCGTTGTATTTCATATTTTTTCCCTTTGATTACTTTTTAATTGTTTCATTTTTATTATTGTATTGCTTTTATAGCGTTTTGATTGTTATGGAGGTTTAATACAAAATTGTATAAAATGTAAGTATATTGTATTGTTTTATAATTCCTATAATGATACACAACTTTATATTTTGCTTTTTATATATTATTGAGCAATAGTTGTTTGATTTTGTCAAAATTTCTCCAGTTATTCAATTTATATCAACACATTTATTTTTAAAATGAATAAAACGATAAAACTTTTTAGGTATAATATTGTTTGATAACCGATGTATTTTCAAATAAGTCATTCCAACAATAATCATTTACAAATTGACACATCATGATATCAGGAAGACTTGAAACTCTAACTTATTATTTTTTCTTCAAATTTGTTTATTTTATCATCTGTAATTAATTAGAATACCAAGTTATAATTCAACTAAATTTTAATGATCAACACATTTACTCAATATTAACAATTAATCAAATTACTTTATTAAATTGGACTGAATTACGTCAATTATATCCAAAACGTATTTTAATATAAATAATGAAATACATTTTACTCAATATTTTAATCATAATAAAAATGTGAAACGATTGTTTTTATTTTTTAGTGTTAAAAATGATTTTCTTTATTTCTAAAAATAGTAAAAATAATGACGATTTTATGGATAAGGAAAAATAACAGGGAGATAAATTAAATTTCAAAATATTAAAGAGGTCATACACTTTTTTGTTTCAATTTAACATCAAAAAATTAATTTTTTCATATAACCACACCTAATTAAAATATATAAAATTTAAATATCTTAGGTAAAAATTGCATTTTTTACCTCTCATTGAGGGCAATGACGAATTTATGAAAAGAGTTTAGTATTTTCTTTGATTGATGTGACTTGTACAAGAGACACACCACAAATATTGTGAATATTAATACTATAATTATAATGACTGTAATTACAACGGGAAGTGCAATTGAAAGCGTTTTGTTTTGATGTTCGAAGCAACTAAATTTATCAATTGAAAGATCGTATTTTGGAGCACAACCTGAACACAAAACATTTTTAGCACTCGCACAATACTTAATAATAGTGTACAATTCACATCTACTTTTGACCAAAATGTAACCAGCTCCACAACTTTGGCACAATTCAGATGACACACACAATTCACAATTCTTAGTACATTTCTCACACTTTTCTCTGTCCAAAAATACCCATTCTCATATTGAACACATTCAAATATATCATACTTCAAACAGTTTGCAAGTTCTTTAATTTAAATACAATGGATACCATTAGTATCATTCTGATAAAACCCATTATTAATATTGTATGTCAGGCAATTGCCTTCACTCTGTGAACAAGTTGTGCAGTTGTTGCCACATCTGTCACAATTTCTTCCTTGCCAATAATACCCATCTTTACATATTGCACATCCTCCATCACTCAAAAACTTCGCACATGATATTTTTATATCTTCACTCGAGTCACAGCGACTTGTTTGCACGTTGAGAACAAACCCAAAATAACAAGATATACACGTTGTTGCATTTGTGTCACATTTTCACAATTCTTATCACATCGCTCACATTCTATCCCATTCATGTAATACCCACCTTTGCACTGTACACAACCAATCGAGCTTTGAATTTTACAATTGTCAATTGTTGTATTTTCAGAACAAACCGTTACGCTGTTGGAAATACCCAAAAGAGTTGTTGGTAGACATCTCACACACTTGTTTTTGGGTTCATTTAAACAATTTGCTATATTTCTTTATTTACCCTCATTTGTTGTGTCAAACACAAATACTTCTTAACACATCTCACAACGACCAGAAACATCGTTTTTGGTGATACAATTTATCTCTTTAAACGAAACACACTTGTCATTCACAAGCACAAAGTTGTCTTCACATTTCAAACACTTTTCACTGTCACTTGAACACGACACACAATTCTGATCACACGTTTCACACTTCCCCTTTGTTATGTGATGACTGTCTGTGCATTTCAAACAAGTGTTGTTTGTTGATGAAATGCAGTTGCAGTCACTTGTGCAAATTCCAATGTTGTTGTTTGACTCGTTGATACATATTTTGCATTCGTTGATTTTGTTGCACTCTCTGCACCCACACTCTGTACAAACTGGTGGATTTGACAAGTTTAGAGCGAATCCACGTTGACAAGACAGACAGTGGCCTTTCTGGTATTCACCCTCTTGGCAATTGACGTCACTTTCGTCGTCTACTTTTAATTAAAAATGACACTTTTAGTTTTGTGTTATATTCGAAACACTCTCCGTTTTCGTTGTAGAATGAGCAAGTCATGTTTCTGATATTCGGTGAGCACTTTTCGCTAATTTCAACAGTCGAGTAGTAGTTGGCGCACGACTCACAGCCAACATTGTGCAACTCATCAAGACAAAACTCACGGTTTTCTATTTTAAGACACTTTTCATTCCTCAATGCAAACCCATCTTCGCACTCAACACCTGACATCTCTTTTGTAACATCATTTTTGATGAAACACCTCTTGCACCCATCTTTACATTTAATGCAAATTTGACTCTTATCAACTTCGTTGTTGCAGATTTCACAGACTCTCATTGTGCTTGAAACAAAGCCATACCATCCAAACTATTGTTGCATTCGATTTTTGTTGTTAATATGATTTTTTTTCTTTTTGTTTAAATTAAAAAAATAAAATCAAATAACATTTAGAAAACATTTTACCATTATTCACAAAAAAATCAAAAGCGGTATTATTCCTGGAGCGGTTTCCAAAAATATATATTATGTATATATATTAATAAATAATATGTTAATAAACCTAAGATAATAATTGACCCTTAAAATGGTGTTTTCAATTATTCGTACAACACAGTTATTAATACGTTAAATTGTTTAAATAAAGTAATAAAAGATATACAATATTGTCAATACAAATGTACTTGTAAATATTAATTTAAGCGGAATAATTATTTCTAATAACATTGTTATTTCTAAATATTGAGAAAAACATTTGTGTAATTGATTTGACATTTTGTTGAAACAAATAAAAAACAAAATTAATCAATTGTTATTTATTTCATTGTGTAACCATTTTGATATCCTCATTTTTCATTCAACGCCCATTTGTTGATAATTACATACAAGCAAGATTATATACAATTTTTTTTCTTAACTATCATTTTCTTATTTTTCATATTACAACACATAATAGTAAACACATATAATTAGTTAAAATAACAACATTTATGATAAAGTTAAATGAAAGCACCTTTTAATTATTAATTTTTCATTAATGTAATAACAACAGTTAATGTATTAAGTTTTATTGTTATTGAAACACTTTTGTTTTGAAAAACAACCTTAGAATAAAAAGGGATAACTTTTCAGTGTGTAAACAATTAAACATCAAACATAAAACAATCACCACGCAATACAACAGATACAACAATATTTTGCTAGACTTTTTATTGGATGAAATTCGAACCAATGCGTTTAAACACAAACGTGGACTTTCTGATATCAATCTCGCAACCATTGTTACAATTATAGAAGAAAATGCATTCACAGGATGTGATATAGAAAGACTCAATTTGTCGAATGTGATATCTTTTGGAGTCCAACTTAACATGAAACTCCTCACTACAATTACATTGAATATAAACATTCAAATTAATAATTTATGGAAATACACCGGATTTATGAAAAGTGATGCTATTGGTACTCAAAAAGTTCACGTGAAAGCTGCGTGTTGGATGAAAGAAATGTTAGATTATTAGGGTCTTGATGTATATGAATATTGCCTTACACGAAAAGACATAGATTATTTTAAAGGTATATTCCCACAACGTTTTAATAAGCTTAAATCAATAGTTTCTAAATTAGAAATTAATAATTACAATTACAAGAAAATAGTCATACAGTATGGAGAGAAAGTAACACCAGGGGAGAAAGACACACCACATTTTTTCAGTATATAATTCAAGTCAATTTTCGGGAAGAAAAATTCAAAGAAAAATTCCATTAAAAAATCCCGAAAA